TCATTAAAACTAGGCTCCGTAGGGCTCATGGGGGAGCCCGGGGCGCACAGGGTTACACGACCAACGGGTTCCGGCTTATGCGCCTGTGCACTTTGACTACTGATCAAGTAGTAACGCTGACCCGCTGCGCCGGACACCCAATCAACGGACCCTGGGTGCAAAAATAGCCGATTGGGAACTGTGGATGGCGAAGTGCACCGCCTTACTTATGCGGTGTCGCCCTAAGAAATAAAATAAAAATTTAATGGCAGAAACCTTCCCACTTGTCGGAGTTTCTTTCAGGCTCCTTTTCAAGAAAAATGTTTGGGGAAAAAAACACCTCCTTTGGAGTATTCTCAACGACTTCCCAAAGTTTCTTGGCGATTGGATGAAAACCAAAAGCTTATATTCTTTGTAGCGCCATATTGATTAAAGATTAATTAGATCAACAAATTAAATGTCATAAAGGTAATGAAAAACACTGACACATGTTGGACTCAGCTGGTTTTGAAAAAAAAGCACTGTCAATGGTAATTTTGTTTTAAATGGCTCAATTGTTATCATGGATGTTTGTATGATAGAATTTCGCGAAGGGCAGAGCTGGGAGAGAGGTTCAGGTCTGTGGTGTGGGGTAGGGAATTTCCCAGTTAGTTGTTGTTTGTAGCAATACATGTAAATTTATGGGTGCTGGATGCCGAACTCACAAAAAAGTCTAGGGTTCAAGTTTATTTATAGGCTTATTCTCTCAATGGCTAGCACGGACGCATGTAGTGATATTATTCCGGTTAGGCCCAGTTCGCCCCCCCCCCTCCCCTTTTCGACTGAATCCCACTACTTGTAAAGTAAGAAATGACTGGTGGCCGTTTTGGGACTTTTAATTATTTCTATAATAGAGAAGAAACTGGATTTTCATTTTCTTTTTAAAATTATTTATATAAAACAAATATTAAAATTCCAATGAAAAAGCTTTAATTTTTTTAAGAGGGAAAAGGGCCTCTAAATGTCTTGGGCCCCTTTGCTTTACGGTAGCTACGCCACTGGATGTTACATATCAATTTGATACAATTTTGTATTCTTTGAAACTCCGAGCTTTAATTAATGTATTATACATACAAGAATAGTATGCTTCATCTACTTTCAAAGTAGAAATCATTGATGCCTAACTACCTTAGCACATATTGGTTTTTAACAGATTGTTTAAAGCAAAAGAGTTCCATACCTTGTAAAGTGTATACAAACCAATGTCGTTAACATTTGAGTTTAAAAAAATATCTTAAAATAATTACTTAATTACTTCCTCTAGAAATGCTTAAACAAAAAGGAAAATATCTGATATACTTATGTGTTACACAAATACATTATTTTTTTAAAATTATCAACTTGAAACTTATACAATATATTCATCTGCTGACTCTCAAACGAAGATCACACATTACTTTAAATAGTATTCATTTAAACAGGTATGTAAAAAAAAGAAACATATCATTAACACACTTTAACTAACACGAAAAACATGCTGAATGATCTTAAAAAAGGACCTGGAAAATATAGGTACATCCTTCACCTAACAATAGCTTATGGGCTATAGGTCTATATATTTCTTTACTTCTCCCCAGTGGCGTAGGCAGGGGGGGGGGGGTTAGGGGGGTCATAACCCCCCCCCCCCCCAACATAGACCCCTCGGTATATAGAAAAAGTATGAGGGGGGTGCAAATCGAAAGTAAGAGGGGGGGGTGCGAATCGAAAGTTTGAGGGGGGGGGTGCAAATCGAAAGTTTGAGGGGGGGGGGGTGCAAATCGAAAGTTTGTCCCCGGGTAAAAAGTGGAACCCCCCTTGAGACGATCCTGGCTACGCCACTGCTTCTCCCCCCCCCCCCCCAATGAATTTAAATAAGGAAGCTAACGAAGGTAGAGTTTATTGTATAAAAGTAGGCCGAAGAACATAACCTCAATTACTGCATACATTGTTATCGTGACACAAATTTGAATACTAAAAAGTTGACGTGTGATGTATTGAAATCTAGTTCAATAAAACCTAGTAAACGGCATAGTATAAAATAAGTTATCATCCTATATAATACTAGTTTTGTAACACCAACAACACCACGTAAGTGCACAATTTACGTATCAAGTCATCCAGTTGTAAATAGAGAAATAAACATCTTGTCTAAGACACAGTGCCGGCACCAGGTTATTTAGCGCCCTAGGCAAAACTCATTAAAAGCGCCCCCCCCCCCCCGCAATTTTTTTCGTGCCTCCGTATTATCAGAGGCATAGCGACACTTCCCGGGAACAAACTTCCGATTTGCACCCCCCCCCCCCTCAAACTTTCAATTTGTTTTTCCAACCCATTTTGGCGGCCCCCCTAGGGACAGCGCCCTAGGCGACTGCCTAGTTCGCCTTATAGGTAGCGCTCTACATTTCCTACTAGGTCTGGTTTAAAGGTACTTTAATCATGTAATAATGAATGTCCGCTTATTGCTTAAAAAACCTATTTCTTAAACCGAACCATTCACTATTTACTGGATTAAGTGATGGACAATAACACATCAAATGCACATACTGTTATGACGGAGATACGCCGAACAGTTTATCACCTTAATAAACTATAAGCTGAATTTATGGATAATTAACGTTACTAACCAAACTGTTTTTCTAAATAAAACATTTGAATTTTTTCTCGTAAAAAAAATACTTATATGGTATCAAAATAAACATATATAATTATATAATTATAGAATATGTTTTTAAATGGAAAATATGCACCGGTGTATCTTTAGATTAAAAACAACTTTTAAATAAATTACAAAATAACTGCAAATTTAACACATCCAGTATCTTGGACAGTAACAGGAAGTAAATTACAGAAATAGCTTTAATGAAAGATTAAACCTACGGTAATTGATAATAATCTGTTACTGAAAATTTAACATGTTATATTAACTTAAAAGTGACACTTGTTTTAATCGTTTAACTCTTTACTGACTGGGTTTGTTCTTCGAATAAAGAATTTTGATTATGTGTAGACTATAAGCTTTAAACAACGATTTATAATTATAATGAACACTTTCATCAGCAACAACACAAAAGACAACTAAATAATAATAAAAAAATAAAAAAGAAGCATATATGCAATGCAAACAAAGTACCTTGGAACATTAAACATTTTATTACTAAATGTTACCCATTGTGTTTTATAACACTTCACTGCCTTTCCTCAACATGGGGGACAGAAGCATGTGTTTAGTTCCGTGTTGAAAAGTGGGCCTGGTAAAATTAACACGTTCTGCTCAATGCATTATTACAGTAATCGATGCAAAAGTTAAAATAGAGTGGACAGACAGACCGACCGACCGAACGACAGACCGAACGACAGACCCACCGACCGACCGACAGACCGACCGACCGACCGACAGACAGACAGACGGACGGACGGACGGACGGACGGACGGACGGACAGTCAGACAGATAGACAGACTGACAAACAGGCAGGCAGGAAGGCAGACAGACAGACAGACAGACAGACTCTCCTCCACCTGTCTCGTGCCCAGCCAAGTCCCAAAAGGCAACTTTATCATTCACATAAAAAAAAAGTAGTAACACCTCAGCTTGCTCTTTGTCTTTTAGAAATATCGATTTCATTCCATAATATTTCCTGAGCTGGGACCTCATATAAATAATACATGAATACATTATTAAAGCTGAACTGAAACTAATAATAGAATTAATTTTGTGATTTCCCATGTGCATTTTCAATTAGAAAACTTTTTTAAAAAGTGTCATTGACACAGGAACAGGTTATTCCCCCCCCCCCCCGGAGTAAATACCCCTTGGAAATTATGGCTATGGCTATGGCTATGGCTATGGCTATGGCTATGGCTATGGCTATGGCTATGGCTATGGCTATGGCTATGGCTATGGCTATGGCTATGGCTATGGCTATGGCTATGGCTATGGCTATGGCTATGGCTATGGCTATGGCTATGGCTATGGCTATGGCTATGGCTATGGCTATGGCTATGGCTATGGCTATGGCTATGGCTATGGCTATGGCTATGGCTATGGCTATGGCTATGGCTATGGCTATGGCTATGGCTATGGCTATGGCTATGGCTATGGCTATGGCTATGGCTATGGCTATGGCTATGGCTATGGCTATGGCTATGGCTATATGTTAATATAAAGGTATAGAATTTGAGTTAGTTAGGTTTCTAAATTGAGATTGAGTCGAGTGATTCCCCGGGGTGTTAAATGACAGGTGAGTAATTGCTTGGGGGGGGGGGGGTTGGTAAATACGAGGGGATGTCCAGAGAGGGGGATAATTACTGAGGGGGGGTAATGTCCCGCAGCCCTTTAACACGATGGTAATTCGACTCCGTACCACTCGCCTGGTAACTATCATCGCGGCCAGCTGGGGCATACCATTTGTTGAATATACTTTGGGTTATTAGTTGATCCGTGCAGCTAAAAAGCAAAAAATCATATCAAATATTTATGAACTAAAATAGTTTAATAAAGAAACTCAATTATTTATTGTGTTTTTATTGAGTATTATTTATAGGGCTTTTTTTTGTTTATTTTTAACTTATGTTTTAAAATTTAACCGTGAAGTTTGTTTTCAGGTATCAGTTTAATTTGAATAAAGTCCTATACGTTTACGTTTCAATGGAAGTCACTATAACCCCCTGTATTTTCTGTAAAACTATTTTCAGTTCGGTCTTAAAACAAGTGACGTAACTAAGTCAGGTGAGAGTTTTTTAAATTTTTGTGCGATAATAAAGTATTTGTTCTGAACTTTTATAATTAAAGGCGTGTTTTTTTAAATGAATATATCAATTAATTAATTGTCCTCTTTATATACCTAAGAGGAAAAAAGAACATGTAAATACTTATTTTACAGTTGTACACATAGTGAAGATGCTCTTAACTGACGGAACAGGATAACAAAAAAACATATACAAACTTGTAAACAAACTTGAGTGTTAGTAGAATATAGATATACAAACTTGTAAACAAACTTGAGTGTTAGTAGAATATAGATTAACATATTGTTTAATGAAAAGTTGGCATTTCTGCCCAAGTCAAGTTGGAATGCATCAACATATTTGGCGTGTAGAAAAAGACCACTTATACTTGTCTAGACTTAGACACTTACATATCTACACTTATCCAACATTCAGATATTTTTGACCTGACATTTAAAAACAGATTAAATATTCGCAAGCATCATAATTAAAATCGACAACAAACTAGCTTTGAATTTTCGTTGCTACATAGCTCTCGAACTAAAATTGTGACGATTCATTGTATGATATAGTGAATACACATGCATTATTTAAACAGCTGTTGTAACATCATTGTTTGCGTACACATTCCCAGAGTCTTCATGTGGTCCACTCTCTCTTGTCTGAATAATTGGCACAATACTGACATCACCAACATTGTTGTATGAAGATGTCACCTCATGGTATCTCTCCAACACTTTATACAACACTTCATACTGACTCTGTGGAGTGAATTACATAATACTTAATCTACATTTTATAGAAACCACAAACTATACGAAATATTTGCATCATTTACAATTGTAGTATTAAATTAACTGTATAGATAAGTATATAAAATTGTAACAATTACTTTTATTATATATATATATATATATATATATATATATATATATATATATATATATATATATATATATATATCTTACCAATGATGAAATAACTTCTGGCCGTACACTCTTGATAGCACCAACAACAAGTGGAACAGTTAGACGCTGGTCGTGGTCCATTCTATCCAACAACAGTGTGAGAACACTTGCCAAACCACTCCATTCTGCTCCATCACTAAATATAAAATATATTAACAAAACATTTGTTTTAGTCGATACAAGTAAAACATATTGTACCCTATAATTCTCATTTTAACAAGTAGGTATATCGCCTCTTTAAGTATGCTTACAATCATTTTGAATCACTTAAAAAAGCTATGTGTATGTTAATATGTACAACAACATATTTAAAATATACCAACCAACCTGCACATGAACAAAACCCTCCCATTAAATTTAGATGCTTGAGACCTAATCTTCTGAGTTATTTGATAAAGTTTTCTTGGATCAAGTTCTTTGATCGAAGATTTTACATGAGACATTGTATGTGTCTCTTTTTCCTGAGAAAGATAAACAATATTTTATTTTATTTATCAATCGTCCTAATATAAAAACAAATGCTTTCATATTTTTTTGCTAATACCATATATGTAACTCTTTAGGCTCTGCTTGCAAATAGAGAGACAAATGTAGTCAGCAAACGGTAACTTTCATTTAATTAAACACAAAACATTTAACCATGTGAATCTTTAATGTATTGGTTGTAGAATACAAGACTTTACCACACACAGTGTTGTCAGGAGAAATAATAAACTTTCTTTTTAAAAGAAACGACAACACGAACATTAACCTGTGAAGTTTTGGTGATCGTCAGTTTCTGCTCTTCCAGGATATTATCTCTCTTGATTTCACTGGTTGAAATCACAAAAGGTTCACAAGTTAATGGTTCGGTGGTACTCACAGGGAAGTAATTTCCTATTGTCTGTTAGAAATGACATAACATTTAAAATACCAGTTACAAACCCTGGTAAATTCAAAAAAATATAATATAATGTTATTGCTTAAAAATACAATAGCAGCTAATTATTGTGACTATAAACACATGGGCAAATTACCATACACTAAATTTAGTCATTGAAATAAAAATACATAAACCTAATACTTAATCTTCTTAAAGCAATTAAAAAATCAAAATATACATAAAAGGCAAATAACCACATAGTGATGGTAAATACCATAAGGAAAATAAACACAACTGAATTTAGTTATTCTACAGAGAATTGCACAAAATTACATGCCGAATCACGTGATTGACAAAAAAAAAAGAAAATAGCCATATTATGAATATTTTTATACTAATAAAAATTCACATAACCACATAACCACATAACGAATGTACTGATGGTAAATAAAGGGAGGCTTACAACAAACGTATTAAGTTATTCTAATAAAAATGTACAAAACCACATACGTAATCTTGTGACTGAACATCCCCATCAAACGCCACAGCCAGAGACACTCCGTACTGAGTTACCAGTCTATAAAAGTCAACCACAGTTGAAGGGAGTGGAAGCTGTGTTAAAATTTGATGTCTAGTTTTTCTGAAACTCTGAAAACATCAATTACAGTGTTATATAATTTAGCCTAAATGTTTAGCACAATCTTGGTTTGATAAATCATATCTGTCTAATATAATGTCTTTTGATCTATAAATCAAATAATGAAATAATTAAATTTGATCAATTGCATACTGCTACCTAGTTGTTTAATAGAAATTCTTACTGAAATTAGAACAGCATTTATGTAATCACTTTCATTAGATGTATCTTTGAAAAGCTGTGCTCTGTACATTTTGTCTGAAGAGAAATATGTGATTCAGTGTTTAATATACGTTCCTAAAAATTGTTTTTGTCTTAATGGGTAAAAGAAGACAAAGACATGTTTTCTCTATACTAGCATAATGAAAAACGAATATGTGTCATACGTGGTAAAATCTTTGTATTTCTGTCCTTCTGTTGTTTGACTGCAGTACTTGTGTTCTGGTAAACATCACCTACATCAGATTCTTTGTGACCATCATCCACATTTTGACACAAGCCGCAAACTGCCTGGATGGGTTAAAAGAATGTCACTAATAGCACACTCAACTAAACTTCTGTGTTGTCTTGAGACTTAATAGTGAGTAAAAATTTGATTATTTGATTATTTGAAAACTTTAAATATATCATCAGTAAAAGTTTTCAATATCTCTAACTAAACAAGTCATTTTAGAGGGCAATAGCAATGAAAAACAGATATTACAAATTTATCAAAGCAGACTCTACCTCAAATTCTTTCTGCATATTACTTAAACCAGACTTTGTTTTAGTGTGTAGAAATTTAATTCTTTCTCCGATATCACAAGATTCCACAGTTGTTTTCATACACACCAAGGCTACAAAAGCCGCCTTATGTAGAAACTCATACTGTTCCTGAATACAAAATACTGACATTTCTAGAAATATAAAAGATAATAAATGTCCTTGGAAAAGAGCTTTTTTTATAAAATAAGGGTGGCTTCTTCATTATTAACTGACAGAATATCTCTGTAATGTTGATATAAATACATTGGAATAAGAGACACATTCTGAATAATTATTTAATAAATCACCAGCTTTGCTTTTAAGTTATGGTGTTGTACAAAAAAGTTTGTCATTATCTAGCAATACATAACCTCATACATCTTAATTTTTTGAATTCTTATCCTTAGCTTTAAATGAAAACATTTAAGTAAATAAACAAAAGGCGTTTTAGTAGTATGTGAAGTTTAAATTCGTTCAATGTATTAGTGTAATTACTAACAGATTTTACAATATAAATCAATATTACTTCCTTGTTTTATGTCACACAACTTACAGCAGTCTGTATCATCTGGCCTGCCTGAGTTTGATTAAAGTTTTACCAACACAACACACAACTTACAGCAGTCTGTATCTTCAAGACTCTGGCCTGTCTGAGTTTGATTAAAGTTTTACCAACACAACTTACAGCAGTCTGTATCTTCAAGACTCTGGCCTGTCTGAGTTTGATTAAAGTTTTACCAACACAACACACAACTTACAGCAGTCTGTATCATCAAGACTCTGGCCTGTCTGAGTTTGATTAAAGTTTTACAAACACAACACACAACTTACAGCAGTCTGTATCATCAAGACTCTGCCCTGTCTGAGTTTGATTAAAGTTTTACAAACACAACACACAACTTACAGCCGTCTGTATCATCAAGACTCTGGCCTGTCTGAGTTTGATTAAAGTTTTACCAACACAACTCACAGCAGTCTGTATCATCAAGACTCTGGCCTGTCTGAGTTTGATTAAAGTTTTACCAACACAACACACAACTTACAGCAGTCTGTATCATCAAGACTCTGGCCTGTCTGAGTTTGATTAAAGTTTTACCAACACAACACATAACTTACAGCCGTCTGTATCATCAAGACTCTGGCCTGTCTGAGTTTGATTAAAGTTTTAAAGAAATCCATGCGTCCAGTGTCCTCAGCTTCTCTCATCACGTGACGTAGAGCTATGAAGGTTCCCGTACGTCCCACTCCAGCACTGGTGATGAGAATTAAATCAACATTACTGATACAATGGTTTATGATATTTTTCTAATATATTAAATTGTAAGATATTATATAAGTGGGTTACAATATTTAAAGATTTGTTCGTTTTTTCTACCTGCAATGTACAACAACAGGTGTGGCTGTGGGATGTGATGCCACTCTCTGCTCAAAATCTACAAGAGCCCATGGAGTTAATGGAACACCTTGGTCAGGCCATGATGTAAAATGGAATTGTTTCACTGAGTGTGGAGGATGGCCTTTCTGTGTAGATGATATATAAACTTCATTTGCACAAATCAATTGCTTATCTCACACTTATTGGAAAAGTACTATGATGAAATACACCACTTTATATTTAAATTCATAATTGAGATAGAGATCGTATTATTAAGCTGCAAGTATAGTTCTACTTGCTAATTAAATTATCATTTCTAACATTTACGACAATTTTTTCCCCCGCAAAATAGAGATGTGTCTTTCAACATATTATTTTTCTAAATTAAATATTACAATAAGTGGTCCACTATTTCTTTGGCCAAAATGGGTAGTCTAATTAATGTTATAATGTTTGTATTTAAAATAATACAAAATACGTGTACTGTTTGTAAAACGTAATACCTTACAAAATACTCTTTACTAGAAATACTATTGGGGGAATATGTTGCAATCTTATAACAACACAGACAATGTTACTACAGTAGTGTTTCCCTAACTCACTTTACTCAGAATAAATTGTCTGATGGTGTAGTCAGCGAACACATCAGTGACTGTCAGTTTGACTGTGATCAGACCAAATGTAGCCTCGTCTTCATCTGGCCAGTACTGCTCACATTTCGGCTACAAACATTTATACTTGTTTCAAAATTATTATTTTTAAATTCATTATTTCTTCTTCAATTAAAAAAAACAATTTCAATCATTGTTATAAATTTAAATATTAAAGAAAATAAAATATTAATCTTGAAAAATATATGAGAAATTTATTTTTAAAATAGCTGATTTAGTGTAGTATATACATTTTGGAAACTGAAAATATGTTTACAACCACAAGACATAAACTTGTTACCTTTCCTTCCTCAAAAAGATTAGTCAGCATAACAACTTTATCAACTTTTTGTTCCCATAACATTCTTATAAAGTCATTTAAAATCAAGCGATTGGGCCCTAAAAGTAATTCAAAAGAACTGATAAGTAGGCACGATAGACATAAATTTACATTACTTTACTTTAAAAATCTCCTATTAGCAAAATGCTATTCAAGATTACCTTGAGATGCTATAAATCTTCCCTCATTTTTATATCCCTGAAAAATCATAAAATAAAGTTGTAATATTTATTTTCATTTGTCTTTTAAAAATAAAGTACAAGCAAAGAATGGTTTAACATATATATATATATATATATATATATATATATATATATATATATATATATATATATATATATATATATATATATGTTAGAAATGTAAGAAGTTTAAATTACCTCAACATAACAAGCATTAATATAGTCTCCTTCATTGTCATCTGTGTTTATCTCCAGATGAACTCTCGAATGGTCATCTGAGAATTGATATATAAATTTAGTGTGTTTAAATTGTATAAACGGTCTTAACTATTTATTTGCAACAATATTTAAAATCAAAACTTAAAGATAACTTATCTTCTGATGCTTTAGCAGTTTCGACTTACAGGCACAAATATTCTTGAATCTGTTTTTGTGTTTGTTTACCTCACTTAGCCCAACACTTGTTGAAACATCTTTGGGAGCGGGTGCACTCTGGTAAACATGAATATATACAGACAATCAAAATGTACAGCCTGTTTAGACAAATTCTTTCCAGAATTCACTTTCAATAATAAAATCACCTTAAACTGTTGTTCAAAGAACTGCTTATCACGAGTGCTCATAAACTCATTTAGTTTTGTGACATCAATGGATGTATCTACTTTGACAGAAACAGTATTGTAGTATCCACTGTTAGAATCAACGACTTGCTTCGTTGTTTCCTTGTCATCATACAGAGCTGTATAGAAAGGAAATAAAACATTGTAGGGAATATTTGTTAAGAGAGTAGGTAATAAAGTTTTAGTTTCTTAAAAATGTAAGCAGTTGGCTAATTAAACTTGTGGAGAAGATTGGTTCATTCCGAATTTAGTGACGTGTTCTTTGAGAGGAGATTTAAGAACAAACGGCATTTTCATTTTTAAAAGTTATTTATAAAACTGAATTTAGCAATTATGTTACATTGTTTTTTATTGACTTGTATTGAAAATTGAGCTGCAAATCTAATCTTGATTTGGATTATCTGACAAGTAGGCTATAATGTTAAATTATTATTAGCGATGTATCCAAGATAAATTGATATTTTTGTTGTATCTCAGGAGTAAATATTTAGCTAATAATTCGTTTAAAAACTCAACCTCTCCTGGAAACTGCTGTTACCGAAGAGACACCTCTAACTAAATTATTAATAAAAACAATTAATTTAAAAATGAGGCGGTGGGGTATGAAGTTCATGTTGTAAACAAGGTGTGTGGAGGAACCGGCAAAAAGGACGACACTTTTCAGAGAATTGTATGCAGACTAAGGCAACAATACAGAGCTATGAAAACAAACACCCCCAAAAATTTTAACAGAAATGTCAACATGCCTGTAGTGGAAGCTAAGATCGTATTCTCATTACTGTCATGGCGAGGCATATAGCTGTGATCATCCTCTGTTTTGTCTAGTTCTACTTCTCTTATCTTAGGTCTTTGTTTGCCATGCCTTCTTCTTCACACAAACAAGTCAATACGGAGAAAGTTTTGGTAAAGATAATTAAAAAGAAAACAATAATCATTAAACATTTTTTTTTAAATAATATGTTTCTTTAAAATTCATTGAATTTATTAAAATTTTAAATCAATACAAAAATTCAGAATTTTAAATTTCAAACCTTACAAATTCGTTCCACGCGATTTTTTAAAATAGTAACTAAACTTTTTCTTATTTTTTCGGGTGTCAATTGTATTAAAAAGGATCAGCTTGTATATACGAATCTCATATTTGGCCGTTTGTTTAAGAAGGTCTACATATAATTTGTTTTAAAGTAAAGGCAATAACAAACACATCATTTGGGTAGGCTAAAGCTTGGACTTAGTGCCACCAATCTACTAGTACCTACCTGTAAAATATTATTACAGCCGTCATACACGCCGCTACGAGAACTACTCCTGCTACCACAACAGCAACTATAATTGTTAAATTACTGTCCTCATCTATACTTGCTGTTTGTGCTGTTAGATTACAACATACTTTGATCATTTGCAGCAAATATTTTTTAAAAAAGATTATAAACTTCAGCTGCACATTACAGCTACTTTACAATAAAAATATTAAACTTAAAATGAGACTACACCCACCCCTTTTTCATTTAACCATTTACATGTTTTAAACAAAAGCCATAATATTACTGAAGCTTTAAAACTCGGTGAATTTTATAATTCACAAACCTAGCGAACAGTTTGTGAGAGTGTATCCTCTAGCACACCCACCAATACAATCTCCGTTGAAATGGCTGCAACTTGATGTCAAACAGTTTACACTACAGTTATTTTTACACTCACTGCCCCAAGTTCCCTCGTCGCATTCTGAAAACAAAAGATTCCTAAATAAATGCAACAAAAAAGTTAACTTCTTTTTAGTATTGTATATTTTAAGCTAAGGTTAAAGCTTTTAAATTATGCAAATAAATTGCATTTTTATAACATATATATATATATATATATATATATATATATATATATATATATATATATATATATATCAGTAGGTGAAAAGTGAACACTGCTTTAATTACGTGTACACCTTTTGAACATAGGCATACACTCAGAGCTGGTTTACGACAGAATACAACATGTCAAATTATTATGCAATATTTTGTATACAATAATGCATATAAGGTTTTATGCATAATTACTCTAATTCTCACTACATTAAGTCTTAAATCAATAAGGAATTGTTTAGTCATTATGTAGGAGTAATATTATTAAAGAGCATGTTATAAAACTACAAAGTACTGAATCCGACAACACACCTTATAAAACAAGCTCCATTAGTTATATTGAATGGAATTTAGCAAAAAGGTTGACAGTTCAAGAACATTTTTTCCTCACATTCCATTATCGCAATTTTATGTTTAAAAATTAATGTACTGCATTAAAGAGTAGCAATAAATTGTACGCCCACATCAAAATTACATCGTTTGTACTTTAATAGATTCGCATTAAATAATAACTACTTTCTGAACAATCGTATCCTTTGTATCCTTCTTTACAACCCTTCGAACAGGTGCCGTTAACGGTGGTACACACGTCCTCAATACAGTTGCTGTTACAGGTTTTAGTGCAGTTAATGCCATATTTTCCCATATCACATTCTGAAATATGTCGTAGAAAAAGTGAAAGTTTACAAATAAGTGAAGACAAAGCAATGAACAATGCACATATATTTCTCTCTCTCTCTCTCTCTCTCTCTCTCTCTCTCTCTCTCTCTCTCTCTCTCTCGCTATAATTATATATATATATATATATATATATATATATATATATATATATATATATATATATATATATATATATATAGTATTATATAATCATAGGCCTATGTGTGTTAAAAATAACCTTCAGTACACAAAGGAGGTTTAAACCCTGCCATACAGCCTCGATCACAAGTACCGTCCTTATGGTTACAGCTGTTTTTATTAGAGCAGTTCACACTACAAGAGTTTCGGCAGTCAACACCCCATGTACCTGCACTACACTCTGAAATATAATGACGTACAACACACTTAAGTACATTTATAATTTGCAAATAAACATAAGAAACATTAGTTGAAACAGCTGAACGTGTTTTTTGATAGTAATATTTAACGTTCTTTCAAAACCTTGTGTTTCTTTTTAAAGAATAATAAATTGTATTAAAAACTTGTGTGAACTATATTTTTAAAAAAAGCGCTCACTATACAAAGTGTCTTTATAACTAGCGACACATTCATTTGAATCTCCCCCCCCCCGACACATTTACATCTACTACAGCCTACTGCTGCACTTGATGTCCAATGTATCTTGCACACACTATAGGTATTAACAAAGAAAATTGAAATGGTTGTGCTATAGATCAGATTGCACGCACGAAGTAATATATTGCATTAATAACTTTGAGTATGAACAAAAAAATTAAATAATTTGAAATTTATTTGTATATTCTTGTCATTATCGTAGATATTTCAATTGGCAGGCTCGCTTGAGTCTTTTAAATAAATAAATAAATAAATAAATAAATAAATATATATATATATATATATATATATATATATATATATATATATATATATATATATATATAATATATATTAGATATGTTTACATAGGGACATGAGGCAAGCATGCATAAATAAACACATGTGGAAGCAGCTTGCCAAAACAAGCGCATTATTGAGAAGGGCCGTGTGAGCTGTGTCAGATTGATCAATTTAATGAATTCAGTCAGCCGGCCTATAAACCAGTTCTATTAAAATCATTGAATTTAATATTTCAATTCAATCTCCCATTCTAAACAAACTGTTGCCCATGTCCTATCCACAAAACTGCGTTTAAAATAAAAGACATACATAATAAAAGAATTTTATAGTATAAGGAATAACATTTTTGTCTTTAGTCATATGTCTGTATGTAAATAGACAAAGGTGTGTATTATTGATAGCATTTAATTAAAAACTATTACCTTCTGAACAATTGTGTCCTATGTATCCTTGTTCACAACCTTTTAAGCAACTGCCGTTAACGGAATTACATACGTCATCAATACAGTTTGTGCTACATGTGGAAGAACAGTTGACACCCCACGTTCTGTTGTCACATACTGCATTTAGATTATATTGCAAACATAAAATGATAGAAAATATCATGAATGCAAAATTAGCTATTAGTGCTCTGTATTATTTTTAATGCAATTTAGGTTAGACCTTGACAAATTTTGGTCCTAGGTGCTTTGACCACAGGTGCTTTGTCCATATGGGGTTTGACCATAGTGTGTTTTACCACAGCGGAGCTTTGACCACAGAGGTGCTTTGACCATAGGGTGTTTGACCATAGGGGTTTTGACCACAGCGGGGCTTTAATCACAACGGGGATTTGACCACAGATGGGGGTTAACCAAAATATATAGATTTTAAATAGAAATTATAAATTGTCATTTGATTTCAATTTGTGATACAATTAATACGATTTTACACATGTTTCCCGGAAGTCCATTAATAGAAATTAACGTGCTAAAAAAGCTAAGAACGATATTTTAGTCTCCACAGAAAGGCTGGTGCTACGTCTCATAGAATTTATTTTAAATATAAATGGAACACAAATAATTCGACATATAACAAGTTTCGCAAATAAATAATGTAGATGTACTTAAAAATACATAAACTTAAATGATAGCAAAGGATAAAAAGACATGCCAACAGTATAGTCATAGAAGTAATACTGGTAGGATTTAGATGACTTGTATTTATACATGATGAATTAACATATTATTACATCCTGCCGCAATTAATAGAGTCCTTTCATATGACGTCACGTCCGTTCGTGATACCTACGCCCGCCGCCACAGTGGTGTACACCAGACGTAAACACAATCAGCTGTTCACCAGCGCTGGACGTGTTCACCAGCGCTGGACGCGTTCACTGTATGTAAAGAACCGCACCCGCGGAAAAGGAAAAATACGTTAAAAAAACTTGAACTCTTAGGAATTGAAGATCCTTATACTGTTATTGACAGTTTCGTATAAATAAATATGTAGACAAAATTTCTAAATAAAAATACTGTTAGTAAGACTGCGTTTAGAGTTAAAGTAGCCGAATCTGATCAAATGCAGTTCTCGATACTTTGTTTCAGGTAAGGACAGTAAAATAATAAACTTCATTTTAATTATAAAAGATAACTATTAATAAAACAAATATGCTCGACCTTCACAAATACTAATAGTAAAAGACAAAGTAAAAAGTAATAATAAGAATAATAAGATCTAATAGTAGGCCTAATACCTGGCTCCGCTGGGTAGACATAGAATCTAGAATCTACTTCTTTACTTAAATTTAATTACTTTAGATCTACATTCGATTCAAAATACACCCATAATAAATCAAAAGTAGTCATAATAGGCCTAATAAAGCATTTAGGCCTAATTGTCTCTAAGATCTAAAATCTCGCTCTATTATCTAATCATTTTTTTAGCAAACGAAATTTTCTGAAATTGAAATAGATTGTATGACTAGACTTAGATCTAGAATCTGCTACTTAAATTAAATTGTAAAAACTTTATACAAGCATGTAGTTGATATTATTGTAGTAGAAGGCTTTAGTAAATTACTAAGGCCTACCTACTTTGTTGTCTTTTTACAGCAATATGTATCTGATACTGGACTGAGTTTAATTAAATTCAAATGCATATCTAGTAATTAGTCTACTAAGTTTATGTAGCCTAGTACTAGAATCTAGATCATACCATCCAACAACAAATAACAACATTATTATTATTTGGTTAATGATTAGGCTAATTTTTTTTTTAAATCCACTGTTTATAAAAGAAACAAATCAAGCTAGAAACATTATAAGTGAGATGGTTTAGAATAATAACAATGGACCCAGTCTACAATTGATACAATTGCAGGTCTACATAGGGCCTACAGTCTAGTAGTTTACAGTAGGCACCTAGTGTGTAGCTAGTATACTAGTGTGTAGCTGTCCAGAGTTAAGATTCTTAATGCCTTAATGCTTTCCCCTGATAAGCCGTGTGTGGTGTGCTATAAATGACATAACATGACACCGAGGTGAGAAGTGTTGAGGGGAGAGCAGTGGGACTTTCCCCTTTGTTCTCCCTGCTGGGCCCTGAGGGTCAAAATTATATAAGAAATACTATCTCTGTGGGGCTGGGTATCACGGAGGTGAGACATTTTCAGGGGAGGGCAGGGCAGACTCCTCTTAGGTTTTATTGTGGGCTAGATACAGGTGGGGGCAGCCATCATGAGGGTTGAACGTCAGTATTAATGTGTCTGATTACTTCCCTGCTGGATTATAAGGGTCTTAAATTGTATAACATGCTACCCAGATGGGTTATTACCCATGGATTATATTAGCCGTTGTAGTGTGGGTTTTGTAGGAGTTAAGTGGTCTCACGTTTGCTACAGTAGATAACCTATAATATATTACTGCATTTGATCAGCTTCGTCTACTTAAACTCTAAACGCAAACGGTATTACTAACAATATTTTTATTTAGAAATTTCGGCCACATATTTATATTATCCACGAAACTGTCAATAACTGTATAAGGATCTTCAATTCCTAAGAGTTCAAGTTTTTTAACATATTTTTCCTTTTCCGCGGGCGCGATTCTTTACATACGGTGAACACGTCCAGCGCTGGTGAACACGTCCAGCGCTGGCGAACAGCTGATTGTGTTTACGTCTGATGTACACCACTGTGGCGGCGGGCGTAGGTATCACGTGATTTAGGTCACGTGTTTGCAAGGACTCTATACTAATAGTTTCGCTGTCTGTCTATCTATCTATCTGACAAGAACCCTATAGAGAAAACACAAGCAAATTAAAAACATGCATAGTTAAACGAAAATGAAATATGACGTCATATAGTAGAAAATAATATCAAGCGGGAGAGTGCACACAGTAATATGACGTCATTGATTCTCGAGTAAACATTGAATGAAAAGACAATTTTGTCTAATCTAAGTGGTTTGCGTGAAGAGTTTCTTTCATACAATTCTTCGGGTAGGTGCGAAGCCCCACCCCCGCGTAAGAACGTCTGAGCCCCCCCCCCCCTCCCCAACTCAAAAGAAATTTCTTCATCGATACTCTATAATAAAACTACCGCCTAATTAATGTGTCTAATCTAAAAAGTGGTTTTCTTGCAATTTCTTTAATGCAATTCTTCGGGTAGTGGCTAAGCGCGACACCGGTGTTTCTTTCAGACTTTTTCCTCCCCGGAGGGGGGAACTTTTTCTAATCTAAAAAGTGTTTAGCGTGCAGTTTTTTTTCAAGCATCTCTTCCGGTAGGGGCGAAGCCCCGCCCAGATTCTTCCTTTAGTTTGTATGATCTACAAATGCGACCAGTGTTTCTTTCCCCCCCCCCCCCACCTCCCGGAGAGGGGTAGGGGTACTTGAAATTTTCGGGGGCGGGGGTAGAATTTTCTGGGAGGGGGCGGACACTGAAAAAAGTATATAATTATATTTCGTTGAATGGGACGGTAGACATGTTTTGGAGTGTGTGTGGGGGGGGGGGGGGGCGAAGCCCCCTCCTTCTAAGTAGTTGCCTGAAAGAAACTCTTAATGCGACTTTTGTCATGAATGAGATTAGGTGCATGTTTTAGGGATATGCCTATGACTATATTTTGAATAAATTAAAGTACCGAGAAAATAGACAGCACTATCAACCTGGCGCCCGTTGTATCCTTCCTCAACGGGCCATTTTTCTCGTTTAAAATATAATTACACAACTCTTAAAATTAATCCTTACAATATATGGACACATCGCTTGTTGTCAAACGCCAGCATTGGACGAACCACCTCTGATCAAATAAAACCTTTGATTAAAGATCCTGCATGGACAAAACACCTGTGATCAAAGCCGTACTTGCGCTTGTGATCAAACACCCGTTGACAAACCACCTGTGATCTAAGACTCTTTACTGAGAAAACACCTATGGTCAAACCACCCCCTATGGACAAAACCCCTATGGTCAAATCCCTGTGGTCAAACCACCTATGGTCAAACCCACTATGGTCAAAGCACCTGTGATCAAAGGTCCGCGCACCCAATTTTTAACAAAATTATAATTACTTTAGCGAAAATGCAAAAGTTAAACATGTATTAAAATAAACATATCAGCAAGAGTTTGTAAAAGCGATTGAACAAATGTAGTGTTGTATTTTCTGTAATAGTATTTACTTTAAAAAAAATTAACTGCCTGTTGTTGTGCCAACATATTATTACTTGGCGCAATCATACTATACAGATAAGCTATGAACCTTCGGGAGAGAAAACAAAGAATGTAGCATATGACAAGCCGGTAATAAAGCTTTACATTGTTTCCATCATATAAAAGTATCGTTATTTTACGGATGAATCACTTTTTTAAAAGGTAAAATTAATTTTTAAACTGTATTTATGCCCAAAAATTTAAAAGTATTCAACTACATAATTTTATACCTTCAGTACAGAGCGGAAGTTTAAACCCTGCCACACATCCTCCATCACACGTGCCGTCCTTATGGTTACAGCTGTCTTTGTTAGAGCAGTTTACACTACAAGAGTTTCGGCAGTCAACACCCCATGTACCTGCACTACACTCTGTAATAAAGGTTTAACATCCAATTTACTTTATGACTAGACACCACAGATTAAAAAAAAAAAATTGTAATGTGCTTTCTGGGTGCTTAAAAAATCAGTATATTAATAGTTTCTAAACAATTGACAAAAATAGTATTTCGTCGCCTCTAGCGGTTAAGGTTGTCAGGAAAATGTGTGAAAACTCCCACATTTTCAATGACTTTGTTTTTAAAGACCTTACTATATATTTATATATTTATATTTCTAATACAAACTACACACATTTCTGCATTCGTTTTGTCATTTTGATATGTAGTATTCTTTTAAAAAACAATTGACTGTAAAAAGATCTACAAAATTAACGGGATGGTTTTATATAAACACATAAACACTGTCATTTCCTAAAGTATAGCAGTAAACGAAATTTACAAACGTATTAATTCTTAATGCGGAAAGTAATGGGGAAAGTTTCAGTCATGTATGACAATTGTTTTAAAGTTTAGAGCCTTAGCGATTTGAATTTTATGCCAAAAAAACGGAAAGTTAAGAAAACGAGAAAAGCAGGTTTGAATATAGCACTGTAAAATTTATTTCTCTTATAGAAAACAGTAAAAGAAACTATTGTTTTCTTTGGTAGAGCCTTCAATTAATACACTACGCGCAGATTTCTAGTTTTAGAGATATTTCTATGGAAGCGGAAACTATGAAGAACACAAGTAATTTATATCATTTTAATTGGTTGTTATTCTCAGAAAAACAGTAATAAGAAACCCAGATAACGTTACGTTTTAGCCGGTCTACTCACATCAAAACAAGGTGTATAAATACTTAAATTTTTAACATCTACACAGTGGCGGAACTAGAAATCAAAGGCTCCCCCGCAAAGAAAAAACTAGGGCCCCCAATATATATATATATATATATATATATATATATATATATATATATATATATATATATCCTAACTGAGTAATTTAGTCTACTTCATTGCTATATAAACCATTCTGAGTGAACAAACCAGAAAAAATTTAGTCCAAACTAATTTAGAGTACGAAAAATATCATAAACATATTGGTCAAAAACATATAAAGACGTAAGCTTGATTCTTGAATGGTTTCTCGCGTTATGTTTATTTTTTTTCATTTTTGACTTTTATAATATCAATTTTGAAAACATTGATTTTTATAGCTATACCATTGTTTAGTACGTCTTATTTAATAATAATTCAGAGAATCAATTGCTTTTTAATATACATCGTACAAAACTATTTAAATGAGCTTCGTGGGCATCCCGATTTTAAAGAAGGGCAGTAAGTCATGGAAGTAGTGTGAATGTTTACCTACCTTTCAAACTATAGCTCTTGTAGATTTTAAAATATTTTTCTACGCAACAATCTCTGCTATAGTGGACCTGTTTTTTTTTTTTTTTACAAAACCACTTGCATGAAAAACATAATTTTTGAAAAAAAAATTCATTGTTTTTTGGTCGGAACTGGGCCCCTAAACGTCCTGGGCCCCCCCGCATTGCGGGGTCTGGCGGTATGGTAGTTCCGCCCCTGCATCTACAAGATTTTTTCATACAATTATACTACCCTCTTCCTGTGTTCAATGCTTGAGGCTAGACACACACAACCCCTAAACCCTTCGCTTCTTAAGGACCCGGTGAGCAAGTGTTCGTTCAACCGTGAATAAAACAACACCTATGTAGCCTGGGTAAAATATTATGTCTCCATACAGGGCCTTGCATCTATGTAGGTTAATGCACATCACAAAACCTTCACGTATTTGACATCAGTTGCTAGTATTAGTAGACCCTACATGGAGCTAAGGACATATACATAAAAACATGTTTCGTCTAAAGTCCGATGTAAACTCTGATGTACCCGTTCATAACCATATTTAAACATTATGCAACAACATTATAAACTGGCCGTCAGTTGTCCAGCAAACAAGAGAAGATAGGGGTGGGCATTCGTCAATTATTCTAAAATGTTCTTTAAGTTAATTTTAATTTAAAACGAAAAAACCCTGGACCTGAATCAAATACTGCTCAATGACAATATACGGTGCATTTCTTTGACAAAATTTCAAATATTTTTAAAATTACAAATAAAGTAAACAAACACAGGCATGTTTAGTTTGTGTATTAGCATGATGGTTACCTACCCCACGTGGTATGTCGCAACCTAACATGAATTGTTTTCTTTTACTGTACCTAAATATGATTGGTTCATTTCATGTCAATGAATCCTTTTCCATTATTATCTTTACGTGTATGCTATTGTATGGAAATTGTTGTGCAACTTTACTTTCTAGAAAACAACGTTAATCTCACCCATTTTAAGAACAAAGAAAACATTCATTACTTCAAAGTACACAAGAGTGTTTGGCTAATAGCTTGTTGTACAGTTTATGTTGCATTGTAGACAGTAAAAAATGATCGACGATAGCCGCTTTCCGCGTAGTAATATACACATTTGAGAGGGCGTCATGTGTTTCACAACGCAATAAAAGGATAAAGGAAGGCTGTAAACGTTTGAAACGTTCGGGATGGCAAGCTATATGGTGTTACTAGCGGAATGATTTTTAAACCAATTCAACATTTTTTTTATCGAAAATATGTGTGGTGTCTAACCTTAACACGTAACAGATGTTTAACATAATCCAACAAATATTTATTCAAACCTCTTCAATATTTTCAAAGTGTGTCTTTTCAAAATAACATTAAAATTTGTGTCTAAACATTTTGTTTCTACTCACCTGTCTGACATCCTTCAAATTTGTAGCCTGGAGCACAGCCAGATGGACAGGTACCAGTGTCCACGTGACATTGTTCATTGTTGACACAGTTACATTCTTTAGTACAGTCTAGGCCGTATTTGTTCTTTGGGCATATGTTGACTGGAGAAATAAATCACGCAATAAAATATACAGTAAAGAGCAAGTACTCCTTTAATTGCCATTTTTAAAGTTGATCATTTGAACATTATTGATTTGATTAGCAAACCTTTTCAGTGTTGAAATAAGTATATATATATATGTTACCTACCTCCATATATCTCAGCTTCACAAAAATTTAAATAGTCTACATTCGACATTATTTTGACTCCAGTAACGACAAACAATTCTGATACAACCGTGTGGATGAGTGCGAGAGTTTTACGCTGAGTGTGTGTGAACACCTGGACACCTTTGTTGTCCCAACTAGTTAAAGTAAACTCACTGATTCTATCAGGACAACACGCTATTAAAAAGAAAAATTTGTATTCGAATTAACGTAGGAAGCTTCTTTGATATATAACTGAACTTTGTTAAAAAAAGAAATACTCACGATCTTCCTTCGAATCCCACCTGCTGTATAAAACATATCTGTTGACACTGTATGCTTCACCACTAAAATTAACTGCCCAATAATGCGGCTGGATTTGAGTCGTTCCATTGGTATGCATACAAGAACCCTTGGTCCAGTCACTAGTTCTGTTGCCATCTATAGCATTAGAAGCTTCAGATTTTCCACCATTATACGTACTGTCTTGAGTAGCAGTGCGTCCAATAGCAACGTTTCTGCCTAGAATGTATTTGATTATTAAATTGTATTTATTTGATAATTTATTACGACTAAACACAATGTGTTTTAGCATGTTGAAATAATTTAAAGATGTCTCACTAAAATTATTTTAGAGTCGAGTTACCTCCACTGACGTAAATAGAGCAGACATCCTTTACATTTCCCCCTGTCAAAACAAGTCGTGTCATATTTACTGGTGTCCGACATCTGAACTCAAGAGTGTCCCTACTGACTGCAGAATAATACATCGAGCCACATGATTTCGTTGTGTCATTGATGGCTATGTCCAGGTCTGAAGTAGAATATTTTGCTGAAACGAAGTTTTACACTGTATTAAATAAACTGGGAGTGATCTCCCCTAAACTTTCTCGAATATTCTTATATAACACTACGGGGATTATAACTCGGGATATAGACATTATTTTTAATCCATTTTTAATTACTTAAACTTTTCAAAATAGAATATAATCTCGTTGAAAAAATAATTGCGCACCAAGTAAACGCGAAACAATATGTGTATGATAGTGCGGAATATTATTAGTACTTTATAAATTTACATGCGTTTTTTGAGAAATCGGAAATAGCGTAAATTACTATGTTCCGGTCAACTGAAATATTTTAAAATTTGACGACAGAAGGCAGAGAGTTAGATATTTTACTTACGTGTGAAATTGCATTAATATGTCTGAAAGAGTATTCAAGTTATAGGCTTTTGAAAAATCGAAAGTTATATAAGTTCCACTTCCGGTTACCGTAAATCCTTAAAAAGTTAAAACAGAACTAAAAATTTGATATAATACTCATATATAAAATTTCATCAAACTAGCTGTAACGGTACTCAAGTTATCATGCACACATACAGACACACACACATTCACAGACATACGGACAAGATTGCAAAACTATGTTTTTTTCCGAGGTGTAAAGCGTCGAGATTCGCAAAAATCTCGATGTATTTTTTTTGCACGATTACAATACTTTCTCTTTACTTCGTATTATTACCAGAAAGTAAAAATACATTAAATTACATTCTGTGTTAAAAATGACGACATAATTTGATTAAATTACATGTGAGTTTCAAGCGTGATAATAGCTATACATTTATTTTAATTTTTCGATGAATTGGTTTCATTTATACATAACTGTCAATTTAACAGTAAGCGAAATAGATAACGATTGTAATTTAGAATTCCAATGGTGGTCAAGTATAACATAACACATAGCCAATTCTTCTCCCTAAAATTATATTGTAAAGTAAGCAAGACATTGCAACAGTTGCTCACAACAAACTTTTGCTTGGATTTTCATTATGCATTTGGCATTGTATCAGAGGCGTCGAGGGCCGGAGTGGGGGGTGCGGACCGCAGCGGGTGACACCATTTAGGGGGTGAAACCATGCCGAAAGTTGCAAAGAATATAGAAGGAACATGCTTTTTGTCAGCTCAATTAATGATTAATTAGAGTTAACCCACCTATATTAATAACTGATTATAGATAAACATCTTTACTATTAACTGTACACACTTTAAAACTTTCACCTAAGAGGGGGGGGGGTGTAACACCAACTACAAACTTTACAGCGGAACAAGGTTTTGTTAAGTATTTAAATAACTGATGTTAATCAACGACCGGGCAGCGGGTGACACCGAAATTTAATAATTTACGATGATAACGATGTTTTTTTCCAAATGAATGAATTGGTGGTTTAATATAATGTGCGCACAAATTGACACCATTAGGCATAATGGGAGGGGGTGACACCGGGTGATACCCAGCCTAACGACGCCACTGCATTGTATGTTTACTCTATACAATCATACTTTACCAGTCTTAAAAATAAAATTGCTCTATATTTAAGACATCTAGAGTATAGGTAATTAAAAGAGGGTGCTACTGTTTGCCTTCGTTTATTTTCGTTCAACTACTTTTGAAAAAGCTTTTCCGACTCTAGTTAAGGAAGTAATCGGTCTGCAACGCAGAGTTACTCACACTTATTGCGTTTTGTAGGCCTACTTACCTTCTTGATTAAACTGTACCCACACAAATGTAAAAGGGTAGGAAATGTTCCATATGACTTCAATTCTTTCATTAGCTCTTATACATAGTAGGTCTGCACTACGGATATAGTCCACTTTAAATATTGCTGTATACACAATTGCAAGATTCTCTGCAACACATAGAAATAATTGGATTTTTAATACAATTGCAAATAAAAAAAAATTAATTTTTTTTTCGTTCTGTTGTAAAAAATGTAAAGGTCTTATCTTATAGATTATATTATTTTATTTGAAATGTTGGTTATTTTTTTAACTTTAAAGTAACCAGGAAATCATTCAGCGGTTGGTCCTGCTTTCGTTTGAATAGACCCAACCGTTCATGTTAAGCTTTGAACCGGAACCGAAATTTACTTGGAAAACGGAATTTTCATTGAAGACGAAATTTTATCTGATCCGGATCAGGAAATCGACCAGGAACTAGAAATTTTACTGAAACGGGACTTTTAACTATTACAGGAGCTTTAACACTTTAAAGGGGTATGCTTGGGTAAAAAAACTTTTTAAATATTCGTTAAGAAAAAATGTATTTCTCCACAGCATTTTTTAGGTACATTGGATTATGTGTTTGCATTGTTGGGAAAATCTTGGTAGCCATGACAAGGGCAGTCATGTTGAAAAATTAACCTCTTCATTGGGTTACCATCATTTATAAACTATTATATTTTGAGCCCAATAAACAATGAACGCATAATCATCTATCATATTATAGGGTAGGCTTACTTGGCTCAAAATTCTAATTGCATTTCTTCAAACTGATTTATTATGAATTTTCACATTTTACTTCAGAGTTTCTTATAGGCATCTCTTCGGAGGGGGGGGGCTGAGCCCGAAAATATATAGTACCCCCCCCCCCCCGGAGAAAAAAATTCTGGAAGAAATACTGTTTTAGTTCTGTCGAAAACACTAAATTCAATACCCCCAAACTCCACTATTTTTTAAAAAAAAACCGGGAGTGATCTCCCCTAAACTTTCTCGAATATTCTTATATAAAACAACAGGGGGTGGGAACTCGGGATATAGTTATGATTTTTAATCCATTTTAAATACTTAAACTTTTTAAAATAAAATAGAATCTCATAGAAAAAAGTATTGCACACCAAGCGAACGCCGAATAAAGATGTTCATAATGGTGCGCAATATTATTAGTACTTTATAAATTTAGATGCGATTTTGAGAAATCGGAAATAGCGTAAATTAGTACTTCCCGTTAACGGAAATTACTCAAAATTTGACAGAACGAAGAGAATTAAATTTTTTACTTACATGTGAAATTTCATTTATCTATCTGAAATAGTACTCAAGTTATAGGCTTTTGAAAAATTCAAAGTAGAAAAAGTACCACTTCCGGTTATCGAAATCGCTCAAAAGTTGATACAGATCTACGATTTTGATAAAATACTTATATATGAAATTTCATCAACCTAGCTGTAACGGTACTCAAGTTATCGTGTTTACTCACACACAGACACACACACACAGACATACAGACAGGATTGCAAAATTATGTTTTTCCGTATCAGTGAGGTGTAAAACGTCGAGATTTGTAAACATCTCGATTTTTTTTTTGCACGATTACAATACTTTCTCTATACTACGTATATACGAGAAAGTAAAAAACGAAACAAGAATTTTAACTGCATAAACGTCAATAAACCAGAAATGAATCAAACCGGCATTAGATTATGATCTTGTAAATCAAACCGCATATGTAAATTAGGGTAAAGACGAAATATTAACAGCAAAGAAAACCTAACTATCCAGATACGCATTTTAACTGGATCATAAATTGAACAGAAAAAGAAATTTAACCGCATACGAAATATGACTTTAAATAGAAATGTATCCGGAACCGTCATTTTAACCGGCTAGTGAAATTACACCGCTAAGTTTTGAATGGTACCGGAAATATAAAAGAAAAATGGCCTTGGGACAAAATGTTTAAGGGCATTAATACCATTCAGGCAAACGTCCATTCGGTCATTTTTTCATTAGTGAAAGTGTTCATTAGGGCTATTGTCGCATTTGGGCAAATGTCCATTCGGTCGTCTGCCGCATTTGGATTAGTGATAATTCAGGAAAACGGCATTCGGGTAAACATCTGGCTCCCATTTTCTCTAGCGCTTTTTTGTTGAATAAAGAATTTCTTCTCCAATTCGGTTGGATATTTATAGTTGAATTTTTACTTTCTAATATGTCTTTAATTTTTTCCGTCTTAAAATAAAATTTAGTTTATACTTTCTATAAAATCAGCATATTTTTCTAAACAAAAGCAAGTA